AGTATTATAAGGAACCCCCAAAACCCTACTCTAATTATTCAGGCCCCTGCATTAGGGTGTGTTTTTGCGAGCATCTCAATAGCAGGAAAATTCAGAAGAAGGGCTTTAAGTAATGACGTGCGCAACGCTTTGAGGTATATTGAACCACTTCTGTCAGCGACTATAGGGCAACCTTCCTGGAAAGTAATCAGACCTCCAGATGAGTCTGGCAAGATCCATGTCTGCAGGCTCTGGAAGTGTTCACTGTAGGAGGTGCAACATGGCTTGCAATCGTCAGCCCCTCTAAACCCTGAACCCCAGAAACTCTTAAAGGTCGGAAAGCCCTAGACCCTAAACTCCTGCAACTTCAAGTCCACCTGCCACGCGACTTGGACCGGCACACCTGAAAACCCTGAAGCCAATCCGGGAGCTTCCTGTCCGTGCTGCATGCAACAAGGAAAAGAAAACAACGCGCCCCTACGAGACCGTGTAAGCCAAAGCCCTCAATGTAGCATCCCCCCCTCCCCCCGATACTTGGAGGTCTCGCCTGGCCGTAGCCTTCGGACGGAGGTATCCGAAGCTGTCGCTTTTCGCCCACCTGGCACAGAACTACTCACGTTCGGAGCCCCTGCACCACACCTTTTGGGTGGTCCCTCAAAGTAGCAGTGTTTTACCCGAAGATATCTGCTCGATGGAACTCATCTGTACACGTGCAGCATTTCTGTCCGAGGAACACCTACTTTGCTAAAACTACATGTTCAGTGAAACTGTCGACTGTCGACCTGTGCATGGCAGAAGGCAGGCTGTTGCGTGGTACCCCCGACTGACAGCATGCACTAAGCCCGATATCACAGCATGCCTTCCTCCAGACTCGCGACCGTGACACTTCGTGTCGAGCCAGTTACGGACAGTCCGCCAGGCAGAGACGGAGCGAAATTGCGCCATTGCATGCTTCGTAAGCAGCAAAGCAGCCGTTGGCCAGACCTCACTCCATTCCGCCAAATAAACCTGCGCCGATGATTGGGGTTAGGACCCTGAACCGTGAACTCCGAAACCAGCGGATGGTTGGATGGTTGCACTTAGGATCAGGATGGGCATCTCTCTGAACTTACGTCCATGAAGCAGACGCAGCTTGACGCTGCCGGATTGCCGTAAGTGTAGTCGAGCTGCATTCAACAGATGCCCAACCTCAGTGCTCGGCTCAGGATGAAAAGAGGCACCCCGATGATCTATATCAGGTCTTTACTAGGTGGCTTCATACTTCCCTTCACGGGCCAGCTAGTGCCTGTTACTAGAAAAAAGGCACAAAGCGCCCAACCTTGCGGCACAGACCCATCAACGAAACACTTGCCAAGCATGCAGCCTTAGACATGTTTAGACTCGATGTGGAAGAACCTACTAATCCCACAGCTATGAGCGGGGAAACTAGGGACCCTCTCATCGTCCCCAAAACAGCAAGACACTCTCTACAAGATAAGGACTAAATAAACATCCAGATTCCGATGGATGAGCCTCCGAGTCACGCAGCCCGAATGCCCCACTTGCAGCATTCCGGTGAACAAGTCTGAAGCAAAACAGTCGAGCACGACTGGCAGCAGCTGTTGCATGCAGAGCAAGCCGGAAATACGACACGAGGCCAAATTCAAGAAAGACACCGCCGGTGCATATCGTCCAGCCAAATTCACTTAAAACGGTAGCAAATAAGTACAAGCTATACGAAAAGGCGAGGGCACCCGCGCGCGAGGTAAAGTGTGGGTGCACTGTGTGCTTGTCAGAATATCCGCGGGTCTAGGGGTTGAAGACAGTCTTAGAATGCTAAACCCTAAACCCTAAACCCTAAACCCTAAACCCTAAACCCTAAACCCTAAACCCTAAACCCTAAACCCTAAGAGCTTCAGGCCGAGCAGCAGGACTGGCAAGGAGCGCACATGATGAGCTCTGCCTGAACACATGGGCTCATGCATTCCGCATTTCGCATCTGAAGCTAGACCTAAAACGCTCAACACGGGTTTAGGGTTTAGGGTTTAGGGTTTAGGGTTTATGAAAACCTAAACAGCTAATCGTTCCAAGCTGAACCTCAAACCCTCAGCCATGCACCCGTAAAACGTAAATCCGAACCCTTAGCGGTTCACAAACCTACTTTCTTGTTAAAGGGCCCTTACGTCTTCGGATCCGTACTGTATCCCGATAAGGCGGGGAACGGGCTTATTAGTCAGAGGCGCTTGCGCTTAATCCATTAAACCCCTTAAAATCTTAGGGCATAGCCGCTGACCCTTTAACGAAAACAAACCCTAAACCCATGTTTTAAATTTCTACCATGATTGTTGTTATATTTACTTCCATAGAGCATTGTTGTTACTACTATCATTACTATTCTAATTATTACTGTTACTCCTGTTCCCCAGAGACTCCAATATCCCGTAATTAAGGAATATACCTTATATCATATTAGGGATCCTACTATAATTTCAGGTATATTCCTTAATTAAGGGATATTGGGGTCTCTGGGTCCCTAGATCTACGGAAATCTCTGAGCTCATCAGGACCCGGGGCCCGACCTGCGTATCACTGAGACCACAGCAGCTCAAGCCGCAGACGCATGGTGCCCTCGGCGAGCTGGGCTTCAACGGTTTAGTTCAAGGGCCCCTTCTTTTTTGGGTGTCGGGTTTAGAGTTTAGGGTTCAGGGGTTTTGCGTTCAGGGGTTTAGGGTTTGGGGGTTTAGGATTAAATTCGGACCGGCGGTTTTTATGGGGGCCTTACCGCTCAGAGGGGGGGGGGGTGTATTCAAGCGCAAGGATTCTCATGTTTTGGACTATGAAAGGGACATTATTACTAGAGCTGTAATCTCGGGTTTAGGGATCCCTAAACCCTAAACCCGAAACCCGAAACCCCAAACCCTAAGCATGCATTTTGGAAAGTTCAAGTTCTTCTGAAGGCAATTTTTGCCCGCACCTGAAATGCTGCGGACAGTGCTCGGGAGGCCTCAAGGGGATGTAAGGTCTATATATATATATATATACACGGGTTTAGGGCTCCAGGGTTTCAGGGTTTCAGGGCTTTAGGGTTTAGGGTTTAGGGTTTCGGGCTGCTGGGATGATTTGAATTTAGAGTCTAGAGCTTCATAGGGTTGGGTCCGCCTGACATCCTGAAACCACTCTGGAGCTGGGTGGCGATGCCGTTGAAGGACCTCTCTGAGCTCGCCCCCGAATGGGTCAAGAAGTGACCGGCCGGACCAGAGCCGAAAATAACCCTTAAACCCAAAACCCCTAAACCACAAACCCCTAAACCCTTAAACCTTATTTGCAATTCCTGAACAGCAGAAACAGGTGCGAAATATTGCCCGACCGACCCCCTACACTGCCCAAGGATCTGGCGCTATTGGACACCATACGCAGCTCACTGCCACCAGCGCAACAACGGTGACAATGAGTCCCAAGCCGCATAAGAACCTGCGCAAAGACAACGGCAGCCGTAAACTGTTGCAAGGCAGCAGAAAAAACACTTCGGCAGAATGCAGCAACTCCAACTCTACTTGTCATCTTAGGACAAACCTTCCCTTCTCGACCCCATAAACTCGACGCTGCTACGAACCTATCTTTGCGGCCCAGGTGCCAGAGCGGCAGCGTGCACCAGAAAACCAAGAACCCGAGGACCGTCCCAGGCCTGGGAACACAGATACATTATATATTATAAATACGCATATATATATATATAGTGTATTATGCATTATCTATTATATATGATACTCATCTTTCATGTCGGAGAAATCCGGCGCGGTCTGGATCTTCCCAGAAAGGTTTTAGATCACCTTTTCCCAAAAAATGATTGAGAAGAAGCTCTATGGCCCTATATGGGCAGCTCTCTAAATTAGAATCCCTTTCAAGGCGCCTTTTAGATAAGGCTGCCTTGCTATTTTTGGGGAACTAAAAAGGGACCCCAGTTTAGAGAAGTACCCGTGTAACAAGAAGCATCTTCCTCGGTCGAGGGGGTAAGCTGGACTCTCTGGCTCTGACCAGCCTAAACCCTAAACCCTAAAATCTAAACCCCTAAACCCTAAGCCCTAAACCCTAAACCGTAAACCCTACAATCTAAAATCTAAACCCCTAGATCCTAAGCCCTAAACCCTACACGCTTCGCTTCAGCGCAGCATTTTTGTAGGGCTCTCGCAGCGCGAAGAGGCCTCAGAGCAGTGAGGTCATCAGCTCGGAACTGAGGCAAACGAGAAGGAAGCGCTTACCCATAGGCCCCATGGTAGTTCCTTTTGGGGTTCATGTTTAGAATCCGATAAGGAAATCCAAAAAAGGAACTACTGTGGGGCCTATGGGTAGAGCAACAATACCAAGGCTGCTGCGTGCGAGGAGGGTCAGATTGGAGGACATGTCCTGACAAGAACCGACACACAGAGCTTTGTTCACATGTGCAGTTTCCTAAAGTAGAGTCTCTTGTAGGATCCATTGAAGGGACCAACCTGATTCCGGAACAAAAGCACCAGAGCCCCTCTCGGTGGAAGCAGCGCTGTGGTGGGAGGGCGGCGGCTGTGTCGAGATCGGGCGGATCAGGCAGGTGGCGTGTGAGAGCATTGTGCAATAGTCTGGTCGTACTGCAAAAGGAGACAATTTTTCTGGTATCTCTGAACTTGGGAAAAGTTTGGAAGCTAGGGAATCTTAAAACCTCGAGAGATACAGAAACCTAGGCTGTGCTTCCCAATGCATCTGCGAGGCCTTGCTTTCCAAAGCCGAGAACTGCAAGCAGCCTGGCGGAATAGTGACGGCTGAGGGCTTCAGGATTTCAGGATTTACCGTTGACATTTTTTATCGTGTTGAGAAGTTTAGGCCTTACACTAGGCTTCAAGTTTCTGGGCGTGCCTGCAGGATTTGCCGGGTTGTAGTGCCAGCCTCGACAGCTGCGATGCGACAACACTTCAAGTAAAATCTGCGTGTGGCACCCCAGGCCTAAGCTAAGGCGTCCGTCCAGAAGCTTTCCGCAGGTCCAACACCAATGGCTCTGGCATGCCTCGATTGGCTTGGGGCGAAGGTTTCGTGCAAGGTTGGTCGCGGAATTGCACCGGCTTCCCATATGTCCATTGTTCATGGCACGGCTGATTGACAAAATCTTGCACTGCAACCCACCCGTGAATTCCTCCTCTGCCGTGGCCCCAACTACAGTTTTGACCCGGAAACCGAAAGATCCGCAAAAAAAGGAACCCCTAAGATCCAAGAAACCCTCACTGGGTTCCTGTCTTTCAGATCTAGAATAGGGCCTGGGGGTATATCATGGTGCAACTAGATTAGGAACCGTTAGGAAGACCATGGGTGCAGCAATTCATCCTAAACTGTGGGATCCTTGCAGGAGCTATGCAGCAATCCTCGATTCCCTAGTGCTCCCTGATGTTCCCGACGGATCCCTAATTCCTTGCCCCCTTGATCTACCCTTTGTAAAGGATCCTATGACTAGAGCAGTCCAAAAACCCTAAACCGTAAACTCCCGAACCCTAAACCCTCAAGCCCCAAAACCTAAGTAACTCCCAATTCCTAGACCCTAAACCCCCCAAACCCTAAACCCTATAGAAGGGAACCTGACGTCTTCGAGAAAGTCAGGTGGCGAAGCAAACCATGTGGTTGCATCCATCCGCTTTCAGCGTATGAGCCTCCGAAATAAAACTGGAGGGTTCAGGGTTTACGGTCTAGGCCAAAGGGCTTTTCGTTTTTTTAAGGCTTAGGGGGCCAGATTGAAAGTCGCAGAAAAGTGCTCAGACAGGTTCCGGCCAGAATGATTGCTCCTGGACTTGATGACCATTTCTTGTGCGAAACCATACACTTCCAACGACCTCAACGCCTAAACCTCTACAGCGGGTTTAGGGTTTAGGGCTTACTTTGGAGCTCTTGGGCTTACGGTGTGGGGTCTACAGCCCAACTCCCAAAAATCGTACAAAACCCCACCGAAAACCCAGACTCCTACTACGCTCAAGAACGAGCCGCATCGCAACTCTAAACCCCTAAAAACCCCATAAACCCTATAAGCCCTATATAAGCCCTATAAACCCTAAAAACCCTATGTGAAGCTGCATCCATTAAGAGCGGGTTGCCCCCGTGCGTCCGGGAGCCAGAGGCAGCCTTGTGGTGGTTGCGCTCAGCTTTCCGGGGTTGGCAAAAGTAGGTTTTACGCAGGTTATGATGCCCCAAGGCCCGTGGATAAGGACAGTGCGGAAAAGTTTTGCGCTTCTTTGTGCCACTTCGCGAAAAGATTTCCTGGCAATGTGAGCTGGAAGTTGGAAGGACTGTTGGTGCAGCGTCGAGCACGGGCGCGCCCTGATCCTGGGGTTGTCCGCAACCCTGGTTAGCGCCGGGCGACGGGCCCCCTGCCGGGAGTCATGAACAAGTCATGCAGGCTGTCTGGAGAACGGTGATGCCGGAAGACGTCTCAAGCGGGGCTTGGCTGCGAAGGGCAAGGGCCTAAAGGTGTATCGCAGGGTGCTGCAGAAAACATCTGCAGTTGCCGGTCCTTGCTCCCTAGGGCCTAGGGTGGGGCCAGGAAAGCAGGTCATCGGCAGAAGGCACATGTGCGTGTAGTGTGGTTGCAGTTCTGAGAGTCACTCTCCACTTGCAGTGTACAGTGAGGGGGAGTGTGAAGCTGCAGCCATTAAGAGCGGGTTGCGTCCGGGAGCCAGAAGCAGCCTTGTGGTGGTTGCGCTTAGCTTTCCGGGGTTGGCAAAGGTAAAACCCTAAAAGCCCTATAAACCCTAAACCCTATAAGCCCTATAAACCCTGTAAACCCTATCTATAGACCCTAATCTCCTAATAAGGGAACCCCGAAGCCCGATGAAGAGGAAATGCAACCAAACCCCTCAAACCACTCGCAACCTATGGAAAAGGTCGATGTGTGGACACCAAAAACATCAACCCCAAAATCCCTAAACCCTAAACCCTAAATCCCTAAATTCCTAAACCCCAAAACCGCAAGCCCCCAAAGCCCCCTGAAACCCAAACCCTGCCTTGCAATGGGGGCACTCTTTGGCACCCTGAGCTTCCATCGCCAGCTTGGCCTCCCGAGCCTCCTCGACATTGGAGCGGACACCAAAAGTGACACTAGTTTGGATATTCTTAGGGCTTACAGTTTAGGGTTTTTTTTGTCACCTCTTTTCCACCTGCCTGGTTAGTTAGGTCGAATGCCAATTTGGCGGAGGCTGTTGCCTGCTGCTTCACGACCCTAATCAGACTTAACTAAACCAGCTCACAACCACAGGGTTTAGGGTTTGGGGTTTGGAGATTATTATTGATAACTCTTATACTATATTTATATATCATGATCTATATTATGATATACGATGATATGCTAGTACTAGAGTATACAAGAATGACCGATCTACAAGGGGCACTAGTTGGGGCGAGAGGGTAATGTAGAAGAACCCCAAGGATTCCTTTAGAGGGTTCCTTTAAGGGTCTATTCGAGGTGTCTTTACGAAGTACCGGACGAAGGGAGGACGAAGAGAGGTACCATTTTGGTGCATTTTATAGGGTAGAGCTGCGGGAGTTTAGGGACTTACTAGGACTTAGTGGACTTCAGGGTCCGGGACTTCAGGGTCCGAGGCTTGAGGGCTAGAGCTTAGGATCCAGGGTTCCGGGCTTGGCCTGAGCTTAGGGCCGATGTTTTTGGGAATTGAAAGAGTTCCATGGTGTTGGGAAATTGAACTGGTTTTAGGTTGCGGGGTTTAGGGGTTTCGGTGAGTTTCGTTGACAGTTCAGGGTTTGCAATGTGGGACTACGGGTTTAGAGCGTCTCGGTCTCCCTCGTCCGGGTGTGGATCATAGGGTGTTGGGCAGGTGCTGCTGCTCCGTACTTGAGGGCTTAGGGCTAGAGAAAATGAGAACAACACACAAGTTGCGACTTAGGGACCAATTCCTTTGTGCAGAGTTTTCGCAGGGTTTAGGGAGTTTAGGGGGCCCAGGACTTTGAAGTCTACGAGTTTAGGTTCCGGTTTGTAGGTTTAGGGGCTTTGGGGTGCAGGGCCGTCTAGAAGCTCTAACTCGAATGTTCTAGAAACCCTTACAAAGACCTCATAAAAGACCTTGCCAAGTCTACAAAAAATAATGACGATCTTACCCATGGTGCCGAAGCCTGTACAATAGCTGTGCAAAATACCTTATGAAACCCTACGAAACATAAACATCTTGTATCATAGACCCTGGATCACAAAGGATCCACTTGTTGGTGTGACATCACAATTATGGCCCCTTTTGGGGTACCCTAAATAATAGGTGCCGTAATTATAATAAGGACCCCAAGAAGGGACCCTAATTTTGACCAACCACCCACTTGTTGGACCCTAAAACCCTAAACCCTAAACCCTAAACCCTAAACCCTAAACGCCTTTCATTGGCGTGATTTCGTCAGAGTCAGCTTCCGGCCTCCCGCGCATATGCCTCGCAAGCTCCCTGGCCTGCAAGAGGGCTTTGGGAGTTTTTGGGGTTCAAGGGCGGGGGTTTTAGGGTTTTGAGGCTTTAGGGCTCGGGGGCTTTGGTGTTTGCGGTTTGGGGGGTTAGGGTTTAGAAACTTCCTGTGCCCAGAGAGCACAACTCAGGGCTCTACAAGGGTAGTTTATTAAGGAAGACAACTTGAACTTGAACTTCAAAGAACCCCATAACACGAATATAGGCCTTAGGCACAAGCCTTGTAAACCTATAACTCTATAACGAAAAACTGCTTAATCAAAAGGATGAAGTTTTATCAAGAACAAACGCTGGCCTGGTGGATGCGCATTGGAGTGGTAGTAGCAGAAGACATGCCCTTGGCTGCAAAGCCTCGGGTCAGGATTTAGGGCTTAAGAACTTAGGGGGTTTAGGGGTTTTATACAGCTGACAGTTCAGGGTTTAGGATTCAGCATTTCGGATTTTTGGGCTCTGGGGCACCTGGAGCGTACAACGTCATGTGATACGGCCGTGTGCATGTGAACACCCACCCGCAGGCGGTCGTTCCTGAGCCACGGGCATCTCCGGATTCAGTGCCAACACCTTCGCTGGCCAAGCTCATGGTGCAACATGCCAAGCAGACCCATCTGAACTGCACACGCTGCGCTGACTGCATGTCCGTCCCCAAACCCGACCCCCACCTCGTCCGCACCGTTTGCTTCAAGGTCTGCCTGAGAGCCAGAGACTTCATTCCTCCGACGCGAAAGGAATCGCAGCCCACCTCTGCACCTGCGCCCATCATCCGTGGCCTGGTCACAGAGAAGCTGCTTTAATCTTAGGGCCGTAAACAATTTCAATCGGGTTTTGGGGTCTGTGTTCCAGCATGTAACAAGGAACCTTAGGGCCACGGTTTAGAGTTTAGGGTTTAGGGTTTAGGGTTTAGGGTTTAGGGTTTAGGGTTTAGGGTTTCGGGTTTAGGGGCCGTAATCATTGGAGTTGGGTTTTGGGGCTACTTTCATCCAGGGGCCTCAAGAAGTTGGAAGCGGGCTTTGGGGTCTGTTGTAGTGCAGGTTCATCTAGGATCTAGGAACCTTGAAGAAGAGCATTCGTGCTTTGTCGGGCCCCCTCAGTGCGAGGGCTTAGGGTTTGCAGCCTGTGACGGTTTGTAGGGGTGACGGTTGGACTCCTCAGCCATCCAAATGGGGGTTTCCGAAAATAGGGGACCCTGATACAGTACCCTAAATAGTAGGATCTTGAAAAAAGGACCTCAAAAGAAGAGACCCCCCTCACTTTCGGAAACTGCCAAATTCTGTTTCGCCTCTTCAGGAGCTTTGGGATTCGAGCTGTCGGGCTCCAGTTGAGGATCAGGCTTAGGGCCCAAGAAACCAAGATAGGGTTTAGGGTTTAGGGTTTAGGGTTTAGGGTTTAGGGTTTAGGGTTTAGGGTTTAGGTTGCTTCTCTTCTGAAACCCTAAACCCTAAACTCCCAAACCCTGAACCCTAACCCCTTCTGGGCTGCTTTGCTTTAAACCGGGTTTCGGGCTTGGGGTCCAGTGCCCCCTAAACCCTAAACCCTAAACCCTAAACCCTAAACCCCCAAAAACCAAAAGTTGCCACAGAAAGAAGCCCTTGGCACCGCCGAAGTTCTCTGGGCTTAGGGTTTAGGGTTTTAGGGTTTAGGGTTTAGGGTTTTAGGGTTTAGGGTTTAGGGTTTAGAGTTTAGGGTTTAGGGTTTAGGGTTTCTGGGCTTCCAGCTTCACGAGCTCACCGCACTCAGGGCACTCCCGAAGGGTCGCATCCTCATCGCAGGCTCCAGCTCTTGCACATGTCCCTGCTTCACGCCTTCAAAGGAACCCTTAAAAGGGATCCTCATAGGAAAGCCTCTAATGCAGGTGCCTTCTTAATTAGAATAGGGTTTTGGGGTACCTTATATTATATGTAAAACAAGGAACCCCCCAAATACGATTGGGATACTTATTTAATTCCCTATATTACAGCAAGGAGCCCTTTAGAGACTTCCCTTTAAAGCAACCCCATTGAAGGGCCCCTCTCGTGCTTGACGCCGGCTCCTCGACCATGGCCACAAAGCGGAGATACTTCTGGAAGACCTCAGAGCAGCCAGAACTTAGGGTTTAGGGCTTTTTGGTTCAGGGTTTAGGGTTTAGGGTTCAGGGTTTAGGGTTCAGGTTAGGGTTCAGGGTTTAGGCTTTAGGGTTCAGGGTTTAGGGTTCAGGGTACTAATCAGGATTTGCTGGGGTATCGCACAATATGACTACCAAGGCTTTTTCTTAGAGTCTAGTTAGAGCCTTTTCCAGGGCATCCGATAGTGAACTATATCTTTAGGGTTCAGGGTTTAGGGTTTAGGGTTTAGGGTTTAGGGTTTAGCGTTTAGGGCGTATTAGAGCATTCGTAGCGAATACTCGAATTAAAACCTTCCTACCCTGTAAGACACCCCTAATACCAAGACAAGACACCCCCAAAACCCTATAATGATCATTAAGGTCTCCCGTCTCCTTTGAAGACAAGCGCAGAATCTGCCGCTGCAGCCCGCGCCTCCTCTGGAAGGATGGAGGACAGCTCGTGCTCCTGGTCTCGGTTTCGGTTTAGGGTGTGGCAATTCGAGGCTTATCTACCCTAAACCCAAAACCCTAAACCCTAAACCCTAAACCCTAAACCCTAAACCCTAAACCCTATCCCATAAACCCTAAACCCGGTAAAACCCTAAACCCTAAACCCTAAACCCTAAACCCGGTTTAGGGTGTGAGGATTAGGGTTTAGGGAGTTTCGGGGCCTCGGGAGTCTTGGGGTTCAGGGTTCAGGGTTCGTGCCTACTTGGAGGGTTTAGGGTTTAGGGTTTAGGGTTTAGGGTTTAGGGGAGGTTCATGGGTAGTTATAAGTACGGTTATAAGTCCCTTAAGATGGGTTATAACTATAGTTGCCCTAACTATAACCCACTTATAACTGCCCATGAACCTCCCTAAACCCTAAACCCTAAACCCTAAACCCAAAGGCCAAGTAGGGTCGCATCACCTGGCCCCGCAATCTTTCCGGATGCATGGAGCTCTCCTTGGAGGCGTCGGACTACGTAGGCTTTATTAGGGTTTAGGGTTTAGGGGTCTAGGGGTTTAGGGTTTAGGGTTTAGGGGTTTAGGGTTTAGGGTTTAGGGTTTAGGGTTTAGGGTTTAGAATGCGACCCTACGATATGTACCACATACTGGAAACCCTACTTGCAAAGTCCCCTGATCCTCTACGCAAACGGTGGCCTGTGCAACAGCTTGGCAGCAATCACCTCGGAATTTCGATGAGGTCGAATGTCGGCGGAGGCAAATCTCCAAATGACACCCAGCGCCAACAATGCCTGCTGAGTTGTGAGCTACCAAACAGAGGGCATCGGAGATCTTTGACGCGCCTCTCCTGCGAGTAACATGCAATGGCGGCGGAGTTGGGGCGAGTTCTCAAATTCAGTGGATCGCTTTGGGGGATCCTTGCGTTCGAAATCTTACTGGAAATCAAATCCCTTCTGCTCTGAAACTCCCAGTCCAGTTCGGCGATGGTGATGATGATGACGGAGGTGACACGGTTGATAATGTTGATTGTGGCCACGGCTCTTGCTGAAGACATCAACCAGCTTGGCGATTATGGATTATGCCATCTTCCATCTCACCATCACTTTTGTTTTTTCATGCAGCTTCGCTATGAAGCCTTTGTCGTGGACGATTGTAGCAGTCCTGTCTGGACGACAGCGGAGACTGGAGCGTCAAGAGCTGACCCAGGCCCCACTCTTCCTACGACACGTCGAACCTAAACCCTAAACTCCTACACTCCAGACATGCAACAACTTCAGCCACTAAAACTCTAGACGCCAAACCCAAAAGCAGAGCCGTCAAAGCGGACGGACCAAAGTGCAGGTTCGCTCCTCAATCCGACCTTGGAGGTAACAGCGCAAGCATTCCCGGCACCTGAGGCTTTCACACATCAACGCCATAACTAACAAAATCTTACCAATCACAACTGCTATGATAACTGTGATCGATAGTCACCACTATTAGTGCTGCCATTACCATTTTGTCCATGTCATTGTTGGAGGATCGATCCTAGTCGTAGCTCACCCCACTACACTGCTGGGTCTTTCGGACTCAGCTCTTGTTTCGTCCAAGGTACACAGCATGAGCCTGCGGCGCAGCGCATTGCGACAAAGTCGTCCTCACCCTGCGCGTGGGGGCGGAAACACACAGTGACACGCAACAATACCATGAAGAGAAGCACGATACATGGGTGGTTGTCAAAATTAGGGTCCCTTTTTGGGTACCCTAAATATTAGGTGCCGTAAAATAATAAGGACCCAAAAAGGGACCATAATTTTGACAACCACCCACATCGAACGGTACATATCTGAAACCAACAAGGCGTCAAGGCCCGCCTGTCGTCGCACTGCATCAAGCAAATCTTGCACGTAAACTCCGACCTGGCGCAGAGCATGTCAAGAACAACAGGGTAAAGCTTAGGATCCCTGCCATATTTTTTCTTACTGAAGGAGCAGAGGGAAGCAATTCCGGGCACGGCTGCCGAATGCTCGACGGATTGCTGCCTTTACTTTACAAGACTCAGGGCTCGATGAGTAGATGATAATAGATCGAAAAGTCTCCAAGCCCAAACACTAATGAGTCGGCTCCTAAACGGTTTAGGGTTTAGGTTTTAGGGTTTAGGGTTCAGGGTTTAGGGTTTAGGAGCCCTAAACTGGCCCCAAATGAATGGAACCCTGCTGGGCAGAAATGCCGGGGGTTTGATCCGTCGAAACACGACGGCGAATTGGGCGAATTGAGCTTTTCAAGAGCTAATTACATTGGGTTTTGGGGTTTGGGGTTTGATTTGGACTTGGGGCTCTAAACCGACAAGATGCTACTTTACCCTTGGAGGTCATAGTAAAGGCACATCCTGAATCTCGAAGACGCCCACCGTGGCGCGCATTGATCAGCACACATCTAAATTCCATATGAAAGGATAAATGACTCGATGGATAGGTACATGGATAGCTAGATACATAGCTAAATCTTCGGGTTCGATCAAATATTTAGAAGGATCGTATTGTCCTGGGAATAGACTCGGGCCTATTTGGGGGTTTCCGAAAACAGGGGACCCTAATATAGTACCCCAAAGAGTAGGATCCTTAGTATAGGGACCTCCATAATAAGGAGCCCCCCTCATTTTCGGAAACTCCCATTTCTGAATCCTCAGCCTTGCAGCAAACACCAACTTCAATTTCCTACTGTCCCCTATCCTAGCCGAAAACCCCGAGCCCTAATCCGAACAAGCTCAACTACCAGCAGAGCCAGCGACGAGCCGCGGTCGTCCCTGTGCAGAGGTCAGTGACCTGATCCTGATTCATCCTGATGTGGGTTTATAGATGCTCTTTTATCGCGTTTGCAAGCAAAGCTTTCTTGCCAATCGATCCTTCTAATCTTTTTTATCGCACCCCGAGACCCCCTGCTCCACAGAAATTAGCTTGAACCAGGATGATACCTGTATTTCTTTTTTCTCCCAGTTCTAGCTTCACAACGGCAAGGACAAAAACTTCGAAACCACCGTCAGAAAGGACATGAGTTTCCAGTGTTGGTTCCGCTTCTAGCGTTTGATAAAGGCACCAAAACAAAGGAATTTTATAAGCATTTTGGTTCGCAAAACGTTTTGCTTATTGTAATCGAAATCTGCACTCGATGCAGTTTGCGGAAGGATAAAAGATGTTAAAGCATTGTTTCCAGGCCGGTGTGTAGACAAACCATAGTGTCCAAGTCGTCGTCTCCGTCCAACCGCTTCACAGCTGAAGACGGAGTTTTGTTGTGGCAACCTGATGTCGAGCTGCAACTTTGTTGTTCAGGTTTTGTTGCGAATTGCCGAGGGAGCCGAAGCCCGCAACAAGATGCTTGTGGACACACAAGTTGACAAGGCCACAAGGTCAAACGCGTACGCTTCGTCCGGATCATAGCACTTGCGACGCTTGGCCACCATGATAAAGGGTTCAAAAGCCTTCAAGCTAAGAACAGAACAAATGCGACATTCACATTTGCTTCGCGCCTGCACCTAACGCGGCAAATCATGCACCAGGCCATGCAAAAGTATAGTGCTCTCCGATTTCTTCGTACTCTTGCAGCTAGCCTGCTGCTCAGTGCAGTTCTGGTACTTTTGTGTTTGTGCTACGACAGACGTGCCCGCAGGAATCAACACTGCTGTCAGCACTGCAAACACACATAAATACATAGATGTCCACCAGTAGATGTACACTGATAAATACGAATAGATTTGTGCAGGTAACATGGGTAGATACGTAGATAGCTAGGTAGTTGGATTGAAAACCGCAAGTGTTTAGGGTTTCGGGTTCAGGGCTTCAGGGTTTAGGGGCTTATGGGGTTTATGCGTCTGGGGGGCCTATGGTTTAAGGTTCATAACCTCCAATTCGAGCATTCTTTAATGTGACTCGCGACCGCGAGCTCGAATATTTTTCCACCCACCCCTAGATCCAACGAAACCCTGATCAAAATCCCTTACTTTCAACCTTCAGCAAATGCAATATTTTTTGTTTCTACTACAGATAGAGCTGTTTTGAGCTGTTTGGAACCCAAATCGTACAGATTGAGTTTTTGGAGCGGCGCAGATAGACTATTTTCCCACCGGGCGGCGCAGATAGAACTATGTTTCCCATCGGCGGTGCAGAAAGATTTTGCCCTCCCAATTCATATCCTTAAAGCCCTTATAGACACTGCATGAATTTTCAATCCCATACAGGTAGGCAGGCAGGTAGGTCAGCAGGCAAGATATCAGGCAGGGAGTTAGGTTGGGCCACGATAACGCGAAATACCCGAAGGAAAAGGCTGCACTATAAACGAGCACAACCCGGCCAGAAGCCGAAACGAGGCATTTCCAGTTTCAATACGGTAGTACAATGAAACCAGCCAGGAGCCGAAACGATGCGTTTCCAGCACTAAACTTGCACTATAAACGAGCACAGCCCAGCCAGGAGCCGCAACGATGCATTCCCAGTACTAAACTTGCACTATATGCGAGCACAACCCAGCCAGGAGCCGAAACGGTGCTTTCCAGTAAAGTTGTACCAAAAGCGAGCCCAATCCACCCAGGAGCCGAAACGACGCAGTTTTTTGTACTAAAGTTGCCAGGAGCCGAAATGATGCATTCCCAGCACTAAACCGCCACTATAAGCAAGCACAATCCAGCCAGGAGCCGAAACGAGGCATTTCCAGGACTAAGCTTGCACCATAAGCGAGCACAATCCAGCCAGGAGCCGAAACGAAGCATTTCCAGCACTAAACTTGCACTACGAGCGAGCGCAATCCTGGATGAACGGGCTTAAAGGTTAGGGGTTTAGGGATTCGAGCTTTTTTGGTAAAAGCACGATGCAACTTTCCTCCAATGGCGGCAGCAAAAACATGCATAGTTAATCGGATTTTGCACTTAGACCCGAAACAGCTCATCGGAAAATATTCTATCTGTCTGTCTGCACCGCTCGAACAAAATTCTATCTGCACCGCTTTGTAACTCAAAACCGCAAAAATTCTATCTGCGCCGCTGGGCAAAAGCTCGAACAAAAGCTCAAAAAACATTCGATTTGCTGTGTGTTGACCATAGTCGAACTCGACTCGGAAGCCGAATCGGAACCCTAGTTAATCGTCGGAACCGAATCGGAGCACTGATCGGAACCCCAACATGGTGCCCTGCTCGGAACCCTAGTCCTAGTCGTAACCCCAGTCGCAACCCTAACAACCAAACCAACACTTTCGCACACTGCGTGTCAGATGCGCAGAACAGGTGGAGGAGGTATCAAAGGTGCGGAGGCATCAAAGGGATTCACATGGTGGAGACCAACATCCCGCTGAGGGCGGGAAAGATCAGACGCGGAGAAGAGGAGGCATCGGAGAGAGGGTGCGCAGGATGCACATGCGCCTACGGCGATGTGCAACGCTGATGTTGAGCTTAAGCCTCCGAGGCAAGCAAGTCGACTTGCAAACGCATTGTGCACGGAGAGTCTAAGCCTCGAAAATCATGCACATCAGTGTCACTTCCAGAGTCCGACCTGCGCCATCCCCAAGGGCATCTACGTCTATGGCTCAAGTAGGGTGCAGACTTCCTGGTTCAGCACAGGGGACCTGAGAAACGTATCCCCAAGCCAGGGCGGCGCGGAGCAGAAGGTCCATGTCCCGAGATCAGGCTCGGGGTTCGGGGTGTGGGGCTAAAGGGCACGGATAAGACATGGGAGTGTCACGGAGTGTCTGGTCATAGCAGGTGCTTCGGTTGAAAGTCCTATGGTTCAGGATGTTAACTACTGTCTAGCGTTGACAAGTTTTCCAAAACGTGCCAGGAAGACGGCTGACTGGAGCTTTGTGGCTGTCTCCTGCTCCCACCCCCTTCTCTGCAGGAGAACCTGCAGGACACAGGATCAGCTCTGTAGCACAGCGCTGCAGCTGCCCTTGCCCAAATTTAACGGCCGACCTATGGCCAAAGCACAGACGGAAGGACAGAAACGCCTCCGTGAACTCCTGGCCAGAAGGATGGCAAAGGGATCCTTTAGCCCAGCCAGAACATCGGCCAGGCCTCGTTCGCCAAGCCCAAAGCCATCGGGGATCGTCAATGGTTGGAATGCCTTTAAGGTTTGGGTGAGTGGTTATGCCCACGGCCCGCGATCTCCGACGGCTTCTGCTTCGGGGCGGCCCGGAGCTCAGGATCAGGCCATCGCCGTCCTTGCCAGGAACTAAGGTGTTGAGGCTGGGGCAAGACGAACATGAGCAAAGAGGAAAGGCTGCTTAGTTCTGCATGCCATGTTTGTATCGTGTCCGCACAAGGGCCCGGCTGCTTGTACCGCAGCCGTCGCCGCTTGGCGGGCCGGACCACCTGCAACAGGGTGTTCCGTTTGGCCGACCAGTCCCGGCAGTCGGGGTCACGGCCACCTCGTGTAAATTTATTATACCATATGACACTGTTTTGCAATTTAAGGTTCTCGGATATTTAAGGCTCTTAGGCTTTTCTGGCCAACCTTCTCCACCTTCTCGCCAGGAGGCCGCCTCAATGCGAGGGTTGGAAAGCGCCAAGCGCTGAGAGGCCATGGCTTCGAAATGGGATGCCCGAGTCTCGAATTGCTTGACATAAAATGCTTCAAGAATAGTTACCTTCAGAATGCAACACCAAGTCCTACCACAAAGTCCTACCAAGCCCCAGCATGCAAAGAGCTCCTTTTTTCTCACAAGCTCACGTGAGGCTCCCTGTACCAATACGCGCCTCTAAGTTGCGCCTTCCTAAGAAGCCGGCATCGGCCCAGCGGGCAGCGTCTGTCCAGAATCGCCGCCCCGCCGGAACCGACCCTGCTAAAAGTCAGGTTAACTCTTCGAGGACGAGTGAAAAGCCTCTTCAGGGCCTTGAGCATCCCACGAGGGAGCTCTCCATCGAATGCTATGGAAATGTGCAGGCCGCTCAAAGTCCCCTGCCGCAGAGGGCTCACGCCTGACACAGCCAACGCCCAAAGGCGAGGAGCCGGTCCTGGCAGCCTCCGCAGACGAATCCTGCAGCTGAGCCCACGAGCGAGGAGCTGCTCGACGACCTCGAAATTCAGGGGATTTGAGGGTTTGGAGCAGGAAGACAGCCCAGCCTTCTCGTAGGTGCCCCAGGGCAAGAAGGGGATGTCGTTGTACCCAGTCATTCCTCGGTCCATGCTCCTACGCACTCAAGCGGCCTACCCTGCACGCACTCACAGTAGCTAATCCTAACACTGAGGACCGGACCAATCGCAGGCCCAGCTAACCCCAAGCCCAGGCCCAGCTACCCCCCTGCAAGCTTGAAAAAGGAGCTGCAGACAGACTTTCAAGCTATGTGGTTTAGGGTTTAGGGTTTAGGGGGTAGGGCTTCTGGATATTAAGCACGGCCCTTTTTTCAGAGGCTCACGTGGAGCTCGCGATCGCTGTAGTAGCCCAGCGCATGGGCTTCCTTGATGAGGGGGCAGTCGGCCAGACCCCCCTCAATGAAAGCAGCGCCGCCGCTGCCCACCCAGGAAATCCGCAGCCGGCGCCAGCGCCAGC